ACTATAATGGTAGTGGATAGGATTAGTGCCCTCATACCATCTTGATATTGTTTTACTGCCACCTTTGCCACCATTTCTATCCATTTTTAGTATCAAGTGATTTTTAACCCTCTCGAAAGTCCAGCCGTAGTTCTACTCCTTGTCCATACAGGGTCCAAGAATTTAAAAAAAAAAATAAAATCTATCTTTTTCTTATGAAATGAAAATTGCTAGAGAATTTTTTTCTAAAGGCAATAAAACAAAAAGTACAAAATTGAAGGAAATTGACGAAAGTACACTATTGAGGAATTTTACTGATTCTAGCGATATTTATGATCAGTGATTTTGCACACTTGGACTCTATTTAGCTATTTACATTATTCCAGTCGACCAAATTGTTAGCTTTTTCGCTACTATCACTTCTATTTTATCGACTATGCACAGTAAACTGACCATCAAAACTTCTGAACTACAATAAGAGTGATCAGAAATCTGTATTGGACAATTTCACATGTTCCTAAATATGCATTCCAATTCAAAATAGTGGAGTGAGAATGTGGTGAAAGTTTCTTTTTTTCTTTTGTTTTTTACGGGCCACACTATCGTGTATATTTTGGGGGATATTTTTATGCCCGTTATTGGTGGGGGAATCGGCCCTGCTTTGGGTTGATCTAGTATTTTAAAAGTATTATTTTTGCCTATGTTGTCCCTAATGTTACTGCTCTTTTATTTTAAGTTTTCCCAAAAATGCTCTGCATAACTATAGGCTTTCTGCATGCACAACCAAATGTCTCCCATCTCTGATACAAACATTCTATCATTATGGAAATAAATCTCTAACTTTGACTTTAACTTTGATGATTTATTAATTTAGGATCAATGTACCATCACCACAAATGGTCTCAGTGAACACTGTAATGAAGTAAACACTTCTATTACAAGGTCTTAACAGGCTTTGTATTTTTAAATTTTACTCCACTTCACACCCACTTCAGAGGAGGTGCCTTGATTATTAAGGAATGGCTATTGATTCATAGAAACTGGAGTTACAGGGGCTTTTCTTGGACCACACTGACTGCCTACCATTTCCAAGGTCTTTGTATGACATTGGTACCCTTCTTGGAAATCAAACCTGATAGTCACCTATTCCACAAGACTTGCATAACAATTGGGTTTAGCACGTCCCCCAAATGAATGTAATTTTAATGATCCATTTTTAGCAGGTCACAAAAGTTTTATAAAAACCAGCATGCAATTTAAGCATTAACCACGGAAGAATTAATGTCACAAAACCGTCTGGCTCGCTTAATTCACAAAATACTCACCCTTATGAGACAAAACATTCTCACATTGTATTTGGTATGACCTGGGCCATTATTATCATGTCACAAACCAAGCAAGACCCAAAAAAAGCAGAAGTAGACCAGGAAATAGAGTACAGGAGGAAGAAGGGGAGGCATTCGAAAGCAAGCATACAAAGTAAGCTTGAGCCAAAGGGCATTCTTGATATACTTTCTGTAGTTATTACTCGTTTTTGCATTCTGTGGACCCAAATGTGTAGTTTTGTTTTTTCACCACAACAATTTATAACATTTTTTGAACACAACCACGGATAACTGATGCCACTTTAACATACAAGGAATAGAAAAAACCCAAGTGGTGAAATAATGTCTCTCTTTATCTAAATTATTAGGAGTCAAGTCCAGGAATTGTGGCTCTGACCAAGGACTGTTGTGACTTCTAAGATGTGTGGGATCAAGTAGGGAAAATTAACTATTAAAAGAGGTGATTGATGAAACCATCACATAATTGTAAAGACTGCTCATTTACTGATAAAGAGAGAGATACTGGAAGCGGATGGAGGAAAAAACTTAGACAATAAAGAGGTAAAACACTGCCAGATTACACGACAATACTGTTTTTTCACTGAAATGGGTCCTGATATGTAGAAGCATTGTAGTAAAGAATTTTCTGACAGAAAGAAATGATGCCTTCTCAGCTCTTTGCAAGTGCTCCATGGTAAAAGAACACTGACACCATTACATAAATTAAATAAGTACTTCAATGTAATCTTCATTACTGACAAGCCTGTATTCACTTCAGCCACCACTCTTCTGCCTCAACTAACGCTCACTAGCAAATATTAAATAAAAAATGATTTGGCAAATGTGGAGGTGTTTGAAATGTGTCCCTTTTTTTCCCATAAGGTTTTATTTCACCTAATACTACCTTTCCTTAAGCACCAATCATCTGGAAATGTAAACGTGGGTGGAAACAATGGGCATGTTTTTCTTACACCTGTTGTCCATGCCACCTAGCTGTAGGTAGGTACCTGGTGTGTTGTCAACTGGTGTGGGTGACATCTGTGGAACAAACTGTTGGACCCAAATGGACTACGCTGACTTTCTGGGTGTTATCCTTAGTGACTAACTTCCAGGTTCAAAAATCTGATAAAATCTTATCTATACTTACAGGCAAAAATGTGGTTAACCATTTACAGAGGACTCTTCCTTCTTAATTCAAGCTGATATTTTGGGAAATGCAGCAACTGCAGTAAACATTTAATTTAAAAGCACTAGCTCTAATTATGAATCTGGGAAATGCCTGGAATGCAGGTGATGCTAGAACTACCTATGAATATAAGTTGGTACCCAAGACTTACTTTTTCTCACTTGTTTCTCTTTAGTAAATAATTATTACAGTGGTAAGTAAGATGGTTACAGATATAAATGGTAATCAAGCTAAAAATCCACTTTCTACAATTGCTTCCTCATTTATAAAAGTAAAAGCACTAATTTTTTAACACACAGCCATTTCCCACCAACGTAGGGTGACCCAGAACAAGATGAAGAAACACGTTCATTATCACTCAGTCAATCACTGTGTTGCCAGAGGTGTGTGATACAAAGTCAAACCTTACAACATATCTCCACCCCTCCATTCAAGCGTGCAGGCATTCTACCATTTGTTTTTTTTAGTAAAATTTCTACTAAAAGAAGTGATATAAGTATGTTAGTTGCTGGAGTAGATGAATAGACATGTGGTTGAAAAAACCATTATCAATAATAATTTATTAATACTGCATCAAACTTGGTTTATTTTATTGCTGATGGATTGTAAGTCATAACACTTAAAATTTAAAGCATTTAAACTTGTTTATTATTATTAAACAACTTAAATAACAGATTTTATTAATCATTTACTCGTGGGATACAGTTGGTACTATTGAAATGAAAAAGAGGAGAACTAAGTACTGAAACCGACATGGGTCCTAGATTAACATTAAAAGAGACAGTACCTAACACAGAATTAATTAATAAGAAAAACTATATTTCAAGCACTATTTGGATTAATTTGAAACACTTTTTTTTGAGGGGAGGTTCGAGGAATGAAACAGTTGTGAGTGTGGGGGAAGTGCCATGGGCAGTGGGGTTACATTGTAAATGGGGTTAAACAGATGGGACTGATGGGATAAACAATGAAATGTTAAAAGCAGTGGAGATATAGTTTTGGTAGTGGCTGGTGTTTTTATTTAATAAATGTATGGCATGTGGGTAAGGTTCCTAGGGATGCCAGAGAGCATGCATAGTTCCTTTTGTTTAATGGCAGTAAGTAGGTACCTTACACCTGGTTTGTCCTGTTCACCTGGCAGTTAAGTAGGTACCGTACACCTGGTGTCCCTGTTCACCTGGCAGTAAGTAGGTACTGTACACCTGGTGACCCTGTTCACCTGGCAGTAAGTAGGTACTGTACACCTGGTGACCCTGTTCACCTGGCAGTAAGTAGGTACCTGGGTGTTAGTCACCTGGTAAACACAATTCCTAATATAGCTATTGCCTATTAAATAAGATGAGATTTTCTTCGGATTTTTAACCCCGGAGGGTTAGCCACCCAGGATAACCCAAGAAAGTCAGTGCGTCATCGAGGACTGTCTAACTTATTTCCATTGGGGTCCTCAATCTTGTCCCCCAGGATGCGACCCACACCAGTCGACTAACACCCAGGTACCTATTTGCTGCTAGGTGAACAGGACAACAGGTGTAAGGAAACGTGTTGAAATGTTTCCACCCGCCGGGAATCGAACCCGGACCCTCCGTGTGTGAAGCGGGAGCTTTAGCCACCAGGCCACCGGGCCTTATTTATTTTATTTATTTATTTATTTATTTCCAATTTGTGCACACATACAGAGGTACAAAAAAAATACAGATAAGAGCAGCATGCCAAAGCCACTTATACTATGCATAGCATTACGGGCTGGCTTAAAATTAACTTAAGATTAACTAAGCAATGATTATTATTATTATTATAATCAAAAAGAAGCGCTAAGCCACAAGGACTATGTTAGTCTTACTAAATCTTAAGTTAATCTTAAGTTTGTCTAAATTTGTCTAAGTTTGTCTAAGATACTCCAGTATGGCTTTAATAGAAACAATATATCATGTCAAGACAAATCGATTCCCATTACTAAATCTGCCATTTATACTATTAAATGATCTGACTACCTATCTTAAACCTAATTATGTACGTACCTAACTGATAATGTTCCTATTTAAGTACCTAATGATATGTTCAAATGTACTGCTCAGATATAGTGGTCATCTTTTTAACGTAAATCTTACAATATGTAAACTACACCCTGTATTATTATTATTATAATCAAGGGGAGCGCTAAACCCGTAGGATTATGCAGCGCCTGTGTGGGGGGGGGATGTGGAAGGTATTCAGGCTTAATTTGGGGAAGTGGAGCACAGATCCAATGCCCTAGATCAAGAGCCCCTCGCCAACATCAAGGAACCTTCCTTGAGGGGACCACACATTGTAAAATTTACAAGAAAATAACTATTTGTATTTGGTGTGGGTTGCATCCTGGGGGGACAAAATGGACACAATACAAATAAATCACTTTGACTTCTTTTTTTACTTTGTCTGACTTTTTCGCGTTATCCCAAGTACTCTCCACACATGTTACTAGGTAGGACACCTGTACTTAGGTGTACCTGTACCTAAATAAACTTAATTACCGACAAGAGGCAGGTGAGCAGTGTGGTGAAGGTAAACAAACTTTGGCGGGCAGTTTCTTCAGTAAATCCTCACAATCCGGATTAAATCCGGCGCTAGAAAAACTTTACTGCATTTCTTGATCAACCTTTGCAGGTTTTATTATTATTATTATTATTATTATTATTATTATTTATTATTATTATTATTATTATTATTATTATTATTATTATTATTGTTATTGTTATTATTATTATTATTATTATTATTATTATTATTATTATTATTATTATTATTATTATTATTATTATTATTTTATTATTATTATTATTATTATTATTATTATTATTGTTGTTGTTATTGTTATTATTATTATATTATTATTATTATTATTATTATTATTATTGCTGCTGTTATTGTTATATTTAAAATAATAATGCCATTTTATTTATTTTATGCTGTACAAAATAATGTAGTTTACATATAAAACATTGTTAGGCACAAAAAAAGACAGTAGTACATTCTGGACAAACTAATCCTTAAGATTTAAACATAAACTATTAAGTAGTATTTCTTATGCAGTTAACTACAGTTAAATACAAAATCTCAATGTACTGTTTGCATAGACATAAAATATATTAATAAATAAATAAATAAAGAAACTATAATCATATGTATGATAAGAAAGGATAATGAGAACCTTCAAAATTAGGAATGCCAAGCCCATGATGATGGGCTTGAAGATGACAAATTATGCAGTATCACAATCACTAGCCTGGTGGCCTGGTGGCTAAAGCTCCCGCTTCACACATGGAGGGCTCGGGTTCGATTCCCGGCGGGTGGAAACATTCGACACGTTTCCTTACACCTATTGTCCTGTTCACCTAGCAGCAAATAGGTACCTGGGTGTTAGTCGACTGGTGTGGGTCGCATCCTGGGGGACAAGATTAAGGACCCCAATGGAAGTTAGACAGTCCTCGATGACGCACTGACTTTCTTGGGTTATCCTGGGTGGCTAACCCTCCGGGGTTAAAAATCCGAACGAAATCTTATCTTATCTTATCTCTCTTCAGATCGCTTGTCCTCTCTAGGCTGGAACACTGCTGTACACTAACTGCCCTCTTCAAGGCAGGTTAAATTGTTGACCTGGAGGATGTACAAAGAACTTCCATGGCACACATAAGTGCAATAAGGCACCTAAATTACTGGGAACACTTGAAAGAACTTGATTTGTATTCCCTGGAATGCAGGCGAGAGAGATACATAATAATATATATACATTGGAAAATCCTTGAGACACTAATACCAAACTTGCACACAAAATTCACTCCCTATGAAAGCAAAAGACTTGGTAGGAGATGCAACATTCCCCCAGTGAAATGCAGGAGTGCCACGAGTACACTGAGAAAGAACATAATAAGTGTCAGGGGCCCAAGACTTCAACTGCATCCCAGCACACGTAAGAGTGATTACTAATAGACCCCTGGCTGCCTTTATGAAGGCGCTGGATAGACACCTACAGTCAGTACCTGATCATCCAGGCTCTGGTTCGTACGTTATTTTACGTGTGGCCAGCAGTAACAGCCTGGTTGATCAGACCCCCACCATGAGGCCTGGTCACAGACCGGGCCACAGGGGCATTGACCTCCGGAACTCTCTCCAGGTACACCTCTGACTATAACAAACCCATCACAAACAGGTTGTCCTTGTTAATGGGTCTCATGTATGCTGTAAAAGAGGGTGTCACTATCAGGTGGTCTGCATGGAAGGAAGTCTAAGGTCACTAAGGGCTGATGCCTAGGGAATGTGAAAGAGGATGTGGATCCCAGACAGAGGGATACAAAATAGAGCAGAGTTGCAAAGAGTTGGTATGAAGTGAACGATTATAGGAACAGTTTCATATGATACATTCAAAAACAGCAATTGACAAGACTTCCATAGGAAGAGTGTCATAAAGCACCTTGTCATATTTGAGATTACGTGAGGAAGAATCCAGATCCACAGAGGGGTCGAGAAGAGCACAAGGATGCCACTGCTGCATCAATCAATTCAATCTCTTTAGGGAAAGAAAATGAATTTTGGGGAGAGAAACCAGACCTTTGAACTGAGTTAGGAGAGAACCAAAGAACCATGAAAATACAGTGTACTGGGGAGGTGAGGAGGAGGAAAGAGTAATGGAGACAGGGATGTAACTAGACAACAGGGCAGATGGAAAAAGGAAGGAAAGTACCAAGGAGGAGAAAGAGGAGTAAAAAGACAGTGGGACCAGAGAGAGGGAGATGGTGAATGAAGGGATAGTTGAGAAACAGAAGACCAACAATGAACCTCCACCTCCATCACCCTATGTAGAGCAGGAGACACACATGGAGGCTGAACAGGTGCAGGGGAGGTAGAAGACTGGAGAAGTGAAGGTTGATGGAGGGAAGCATCAGAGAAAAGTAAAGGCAGAGGAGTAGGAATCTCGGCAGACAGCAGCTCAAACCAGTTGTGTGATTATGGAAGGAGAGCATGAGAGTGGCATCAATGGTAACGTGAGCATGTATTACCAGTATTAATGTGCCAATATAGCCAAGATGAGAGAGCTTCACCATTGGACATGTCCCTTCTCTCTTAATATGTAGGTCTTGCTTTCCTTAATGTAACTGAGCATGAATGGAAGTAGGAGGGATGGGCCCCACAACAACTCAGTTATTGAGGGTTAGACCATTTACAAGCAAAATCATTATGAGTGAGACTGGATTATTATAATAAAAAAGAAGCGTTAAAAAAACAAGGGTTATATAGTGGAGTGAGACTGGAGCAGACAGGATATCTGACTTACAAACAGCAGGAAAACAGGGTAAAGAGAAGTTTTCAGAATGACAGGGAATGATTAGCAAGATAAATATAGTTAGAAGGGAGCCGACAGTCTGAGCTTACTGTATGAAGGATGGACACAGGTATCAGCATGCACAGCAAGCAAAAACTGAAGTTCAGGTTCTTTATATGCTATTTGTACACTCTAAAAAAGGATAACTTTTATGAAGGGATTTGGGGGAAACCAGTTAACCAGACTTGGTGAGCTGGTAGACAGTCATGTGTTGAAGGCCAGCCTTCCCACAATGAATACTATGACAGTCATGATGTCCGTAAATTGGAAACAGAAGGGCATCCTGGGCTACATGCATGGAAAGAAATCTAATGCCTCACCATGGACATTATTTTTACATTAATGGGGTGGATAATGCAATACCCATAGGAATCATACAGTGGAGGAATGGGATGCATTCAAGTTTGATCCAAGGAAAGGGAACAGGTGAAATTCCTTGAACCAAGAGCCCCTTACCAACATCAAGGAAAGTCCCTTGAGGGGCTGACCATGAACAAAATTGTTCGGCTAACCTCGTAGTCATACAGGATGCCTACAGATTCAATCAGGTAGTTGGAAAGAAGATATCGAGGATGATGACGATGATACATCAAAGGTACATTAGAGTGTCGAGGAAATTGTGGTGAAAGAGGGTGTCTAGAGTGTCAGTGGTCAGAGGTGAGCTGTGTGTTCCTGGGAGATGAGCTGGAGTCACACTGGAACTAACCTTGGAGGCCAGACAGGCATTTGAGGCAGGCTCCTGGATCACAAGACAGTCACTGCACAGTGAAGGTTGAAGGGAGAGAGAGGAAGGGGGGAGTACACAGGAAAATTGTCACAAAAAAGCCTGGAGAAGGTTGAGAACAATAAAGTAAAGAGAAGCATCTTTGAAAATGAAAGAAAAGACCACAGATCTGCAACAAGCATCACTCACCATTGATGTGACCAGAGTCCAGTTTTCTCTGTATGGAGCAGCTGATTATTATTATTATAATCAAAAAGAAGTGCTAAGCCAATGGAGCAGCAGGACAAACACAGAGCTACTGATCTAAGAATTGTCTTCTGTGAGGAATGATTTTTGATGAAAGGGGAATTATTATTATAATCAAGTGGGTGCGGGAGGGAAGAGGAGCGATTCGTGGAATGATGATGTAAAGAGAGTAGTAAGGAGAGAAAAAGTTAGCATATGAGAAGCTTTTACAAAGTAGAAGTGATGCAAGGAGGGAAGAGTATATGGAGAAAAGAGAGAGGTTAAGAGAGTGGTGAAGCAATGTAAAAAGAGAGCAAATGAGAGTGGGTGAGATGTTATCAACAAATTTTGTTGAAAATAAGAAAAAGTTTTGGAGTGAGATTAACAAGTTAAGAAAGCCTAGAGAACAATGAATTTGTCAGTTAAAAATAGGAGAGGAGAGTTATTAAATGGAGAGTTAGAGGTATTGGGAAGATGGAGGGAATATTTTGAGGAATTGTTAAATGTTGATGAAGATAGGGAAGCTGTGATTTCGTGTATAGGGCAAGGAGGAATAACATCTTGTTGGAGTGAGGAAGAGCCAGTTGTGAGTGTGGGGGAAGTTCGTGAGGCAGTAGGTAAAATGAAAGGGGGTAAGGCAGCCGGGATTGATGGGATAAAGATAGAAATGTTAAAAGCAGGTGGGGATATAGTTTTGGAGTGGTTGGTGCAATTATTTAATAAATGTATGGAAGAGGGTAAGGTACCTAGGGATTGGCAGAGAGCATGCATAGTTCCTTTGTATAGAGGCAAAGGGGACAAAAGAGAGTGCAAAAAATTATAGGGGGATAGTCTGTTGGTATACCTGGTAAAGTGTATGGTAGAGTTATTATTGAAAGAATTAAGAGTAAGACGGAAAAAATAGGATAGCAGATGAATAAGGAAGCTTTAGGAAAGGTAGGGGGGGGTGTGGGACCAGGTGTTTACAGTGAAACTATAAGTGAACAGTATTTAGATAAGGCTAAAGAGGGCTTGTGGCATTTATGGTTTTGGGAAAAAAGGCATATGACAGGGTGGATAGGGGGGCAATGTGGCAGATGTTGCAGGTGTATGGTGTAGGAGGTAGGTTACTGAAGCAGTGAAGAGTTTTTTCGAGGATAGTGAGGCTCAAATTAGAGTATGTAGGAAAAGAGGGAAATTATTTCCCCCGTAAAAGTAGGCCTTTTGACAAGGATGTGTGATGTTACCGTGGTTGTTTAATATATTATAGATGGGGTTGTAAGAGAAGTAAATGCGAGGGTCTTGACAAGAGGCATTGAGTTAAAAGATAAAGAATC